GGTTTTCTTTGCAGTTAATAGGCTAGAAACATCATAATGAAAAGTTGGTTCTTAGGCAGCTCTATCATTACTGGAGTCCTTGATAAAAAGGAATATTATAAATGGCCTCTTAGTCTGTTTTTCTGGCTTTTACAGGGGATTGAATTCTGATACTAGCAGGCAAAAGCTGTTCATATTTTTATAGAAGTAGTTGACAAGTTCAGTTCCATTTTGAACATAGCAATAGTAGTGCATCTGTAAACTTTATTTGGATTAACTTAAATTTGCAATTCTATTTTAAGGTATTCGTACTTTCTACTCATCCATATGGTTGTAGAGTAATTCAGCGTATTCTGGAACACTGCACTGCTGAGCAGACTTTACCCATCTTAGAAGAACTGCATCAGCACACAGAACAACTAGTACAGGTTAGTATATTCCTTTTTGCAATGCATTGTAGAGCTTTTTTATATTATCATAATTTATTCCCATTTCTTAGTGTATGAAATAGCTTAAATGCATTTGTTTCTTTTTAGCGTTGTAGACATTGATTTTTGTCTTTCTTTCCTTCCATAGTTTTAATGAAAATGAATTTGGAAGTTGGGAGGCAAAGAAGATATAAAAAGCCATTTCCTTACACTTTTGGCTGTAGCTTCAAGTATACATTGTACATGCACAGAATTAGGTTTTTGGGTTTATTTCTTTCTATATTTATTTATTGCAAAGATTGCCTTTTTGTAGTTTCTCAGTTCATTCCGGTGTCCTTCACATAACTTCTAATAATATCTAAACACAAATGCGTTGTCAAAAATATACATTGTGCGTTCCTACACACATAATATACATTGCATATTCATACACAATTAGGACATTTCTTCTAAAAGAAGGCCAGGCCAAAGACCTTATACATGATTTCCTGTCTTGGTCTCAAATGAACAAAATCTATGGCTTTGAAATGGATTCAGGTTAAAGTACTGGAAGAGACTTGTTCAGTAGGAATTTCTACATGTTAAAAGGCATGAATTGCCTTTTGCTTTATATTCAGTCTAGTTTACTTCTCAGCTTTTTGTATATAAAGTCTCTATTAGACTGCATTTGGGGAACCAAATTTCAGGGAGATCTTACGGCTGTTACAGAACGATGATCTTAATTTTGAAGACTTCTTTCTTTAAGAGAATAAAAGGTACTCTAGCAAAATGCCATTTTTACAGATAATTTCCATGTTCCATGTAAATTTTGTGGTCCATTAAGTAATTCTTGATGCAGCGTTTTTTGCATCCCTTTGTTTCTGTGCTGTTGACATTACTGCCGTTTTCTTATATCCATATAAATAGTAAGTTGAAAGTTTATACAAATAGACAATAGCTACATGGATTGTTTGGTATGAACACAAAAGAAAATTGAAGTCATCTTATTTTCAGGATCAATACGGAAATTATGTTATTCAACATGTACTGGAGCATGGTCGTCCTGAAGACAAGAGTAAAATCGTTTCAGAAATCAGAGGAAAAGTTCTAGCTCTGAGTCAGCACAAATTTGCCAGGTATTGCCCAGCTTTCATATAATATTGAAGGTTCGCTAACCTTTTGAAGTTGTAGTATTGGATTTATTTAGTGTGTTACAAAAAGATTTATTTTTCCCTTGTGTACCGTTTTCTGAAATTTCGTATTTTTATAGAGATGAACAGCGGTGGTATTTTACCCTCTGTGAAATATGAATTTGGGGAAGGAAAAGGGGAAATGCAGCTCTCCAGTAAAACAAACAAGATTTTGTGGGTTTTATGGAATGTCTTGTGTTCACCCTCTACAAGTTCAGGGAATGGGGCTTCCAGACTCCAAGGAGAGGCATATGAGAATCCCCAGAGCTAGGTGAAAAGCTCTCCTAGAAGTTGCTTGATACGCTGCTGAGCTGAGACCTCCTGTTTTTTTTCCTACCAGTCCAGTCAAGCAATTTCCAAGCATAAAAAGGCTAGCTGTAAAACGTGGTGCTTCAGCATGACAAGAATTTTATGCATTAGGAAGACTCAAAGTCTTTTTTTAGGACCTAAAAATCATCCTTCAGTGTTTTTTACTGAAAGGTAGATTGCACCTTTTTCTAAGGAAAATATACTTCAGAATTCATCCTGGATGGTATAGTGAGACTAACCTTGTCGTCAATCTTATGTAGAAATGTGCCGTGATATTTTGAGGGCATGGGTTTTAAAAAATCAGTTGTATGCAAAGTAGCAAGTTTGTCTGGATTTTATTTTTCTTTGCCTAAACAGAACTATTCACATTCTTCTCCTTGGAACATGTTTAATTTCTAAAGCAGAAACTCATGACAAGAATCGTTTTGTTGCTGGCTTATAACCACTGATAGCATTTTCAGCTTCTGAGACATCTGGAGGTTGTGGACTTCATCTACACAAAGAAATATTTGAGGGTTTCTCTGATTTAGGCATGCTCCTGAAAAGATCCTTTATTCAAAAAGTAGAAAGCCTTGTATCTGGCTTTCTCTATATCCTAAAAGGGTCCCACAACTAAAAACAGATGTACTACAGTACATATGCAACCCAAGGTCCAGTATATCTGCCATAGGACCAGTGGAGAATCTCTCCTAAAAGTATCAGAAAATGACTTTTGGTGGTAATCCTTTACCTTCCTCAGGTATTACAGAGTAAAGGTTTGGAAATCAGGACTTAACATTTTTAGAATGGACTCTTCAGTAGCATTAAGGCACTTGAACTTGCTCAGATAAATGTAAAATCAAATTGCTACTTGGAAGAATGTTACATATTAAATCACACGATGCATTTGTCTTATTTTTCAGCAATGTGGTAGAAAAATGTGTAACTCATGCTTCTCGTGCTGAAAGAGCTTTACTTATCGATGAGGTCTGCTGCCAGAACGATGGTCCTCACAGTGCCTTATACACCATGATGAAGGACCAGTATGCCAACTACGTTGTTCAGAAGATGATTGATATGGCTGAACCTGCTCAGCGGAAGATCATAATGCACAAGGTATATGGTTTTATTGCTTCAGAACATTTTCTCTTTATATTACTGCCTTATCTGTTAGAATCCCTTTCCCTCCAGACTTAAAACTAGCTGGTTCTGTAATCTAGAAGTTGGTGTATAAACATTACATTTGAGGGAATTTGATAAGGCATAATGTATTCAGGTCTGTGAGCGCTGTTTTGTGAGCTGAAAATGTAAATCTATAGAAAAGTCCTAAAAGTTGGATTACAAATCAACTTTTGGTGTCAGCTTTTCTGTGAAAATACATTTTTTTTTAACGTTGAAAGTATTTGTCATGTTTATTAACAGAAGAAAGACAAGTTTGTCTTTTTAAAATAATAACAAATAATGTTAATATAAATACTTTCTGCAGTTTCCTCTGAAAAGATTCCCATGCTTCCAACAGGCGGTCACATTTTCTAGTTGAGAATACCCAGAGAGAAACAAAAATGCCATTGCCCCAGTTGCCCTGGGCTATTTGCTCCCATGGGGAAACTTTTCGGGGGTGTTCTTCTTTGCACTCCTGTGCACCCAGCTGTTCAAGTGCTGGGTCGGATCTGGGGAATGTAGTATGGGTCAGACAGCTCGGCCTTATCTGCCACTGTGGGTTAGGTCACACGTGAAAATACCCCCCCCTTAGCCTTGCCTGATGTGTTTACATCATGTAGTACTGAGAGGTTTTTTGGTTTTTGTTGATGTTTAACAAATCCTAGTAGTCTAAAGTATGGCTTTGCCCATCTAGAAGCAAAAGTGGAGAGTCATCAGTTGAATTATTTATAATGTGATAGGTACCTCAATTACTTTGTGATTCAGCCACCATTTTTACATCTTTCCAGAAACTTCCAAAACGTATAGGTTTAGGTTTTTGCCATTTTTTTATAGAATTGCTCACAAGTGTAGTAACTCTGCTTACAGTTTTTGAGGAAAAAAATGATGGGTTTCTTCTTACAGATTCGACCCCACATCACAACTCTGCGTAAATACACCTATGGCAAACACATTCTGGCCAAGCTGGAAAAGTATTACCTGAAGAACAGCGCTGATCTGGGGCCAATTGGTGGACCACCAAATGGGATGCTGTAAAAGACAAAAAGGAAGAAAAAAAAAAAAAAGGAAATGGAAAAAATATTATTGTGAATGATCAAAACATACAACTTAACTATAAATGTTCTGATTTTTTTAAATCTATTTATTGACTTTGTTCATCCATTTGTAAAATTTTTATTCTTTTGTATATTTTTGGGGAGTGAATTATAAAAAATAAAATAAAAAAAAATCTCCAGCCCTGATCCGGAGACCTATCAGATTGGACGGCTGGCAAAGCACAGAATGCCTGTATATGATGTAATTGTATCAAAATAGCTGTCACATATTTTGTAAATTTTTACCTTGTAAAGTCACTGAAATAGTTTTTAAAGGGAAAAAGTACAGTATTCTTTTAATACACTGGCTTGCAATCTGGTAGGTCTACCCAACATCATAGCACAACAGGTTTATAGAGTTGTATATAGAATTGATCCTTATTTTTCCCTTTCGTGTGAAGTCTTTTATACCAGATTAAAATTGATCAGCTGCATAAACATTATTTAACACGTCAAAAAGTTAAGTTGTGTTTTGGTGGTTCACAACATACTATTCAAAAAATAAACTGGGCACGCAAATTAAAATAGGGAGTAATGAAACAATGGAAACTTCAAAAGACAGTTTTCACCACTTTGTGGACACACTTTATTTTTCTTTTTTTTTTTTTTTTTTTTTTAATTAGTGCCCTAAGGTTTTCTCTAGCGATGTATTAAAACTAAAAGTGCTGTATATACTTATATATTTAATTGTTGTACAAGGTAGAGGAATAAAATGATGGTGGTACTTCCATTCAGTAAAGTACACTGTTGGAGAAGGAGTGAACCCTGTATTAACTTTACAGTCAGTTTTACAATGCAGGAAGAGTAGAGATTTGTATTTTTTTATTTTGCATATAGAATTGTAAGGATTTGAAAGTGTTGAGCATTTATTTTGCTTTCTCACTGTAGATGCAAAAAATAGGTATTGATGAAGAGAAAAGGGGCCACTGAAAAGTAAACTTGATAGCTCAACATTTAAGCATGATTGATTAAATATCCAGATAGCTTTTTTGCTTCCTATAAATATATGCATTGTATACGTGTAGTTAATAGGTGTAAGTTTACAGTTTGAAAACAAATCTCTTGTTTCGATGTTTATTACAAGCCTTGCTAATTTAGTAGTGATGCTTACCTTGGTTGTACAGATGTACATTTGTAAACCTTCATGCTGTAAATGTAATTTGTTTTACCCTTTTTGGGACAAAAATTTGCATTTTAGTGTATATTCATATCCCCCTTCCCTTTTCTCCCCCTGGCATATAGTGTTGTATAATGTAAATTTATTTCAGCAAATCAAGAGTGATTTTTTTAAATTCTATCTTTATATGGTTTCAGAAATATGAACCGGCTTTCTTTTTATCTATTGTGAGAAACATTATGTTTTGTTTATAACATAGCTGTTGATTCTGTTAATATGGACACTTTGGGAAATCGATCTGTTCAAATTTTAAGTTGGGATAATAAGCATAGCAAGAAAGAAATGGACTGAAATACTTGGTTATCGCAGAAACCAATGCTTCTTCCATCTTAATAAATGTGGCATGATTTTTTTGTACAGAAGAGTACTGTATTTTTGAATAGCCTTCTCCCAGCGTAAAGCAAATATGTATGATACTGTCAATTTTTTTCTCTGGACATATGACATTGTAACAGTAACATAAAGATGATGTACATTTACAAGCGGCCTTATGTACATTTCCCAATGATCTTTTTAAGGCAGAGTTGTGACCATATGTGTATAATTAAAATCCTTTTTAATCCTTTGCCTATGGAAATATTTTGGAAAAAAAAAAAAAAAGCTTACTTTGTATATTCAGTTTCTGAAAGATAAAGGAAGTGCTTTGTATGTTGTCGAAGTAAGTATTTTGTGTAAAACATTCGTTTGGATGGCATAACCTGAAGCTGTGATCACCAAGATAGGTTGAAAGCAGTGTCGAGCATCGAGCAAATAAAAGGCTGTAATGGTAGGGCTCTGATCATGAGGAAAGAAAATAGTAGTGGTATTAACTTGTGTAAGGAATTCTGTTGTGTTACTGTTTATATCAGGTTGACATAAGTCTTACTGAAGCATACATCTGAGTTGCTACTTTTTTTTATATGCTAGCGTTAAATCATCAATAGGCAAATGGGAAAGTTTCTTCTGGCCTACCTTTGGTGTCTGAATCTGTCATTTAACGCCTGCATGAAGTGATGTAGTAGGCCTAATTATTTTTAGTAATCGCATTTCTAATTGCCAAATAGTTTTTGAATGGCAGTTCACAAAATTCCCTTCAAGAGGCACAAGCCTTGTCATTGGAGCCAGGGCTTTCCTGTAGTCGCACAAAGGATGGCATTTGAGGACCTTTCTTGAACACGTTAATTCTCCTGAGTATTTTTTTCCTGTGCATAAATGTTGTATGTTTTTATCTGAAGAGCTGACATTCTCTCCAACGTGAGGCATTAAATTAGGCTTTTGGGAATGTCCAGGCAGAAATTGGTAGTGTCCAAGTAGCACTCATGCCATGGTTGAATTTAAACAGTCCTATAGCCATCATCCCTAGTGTTTTCAGTACCTTGAACATCTTCCACTTGCTATCCTAAAACCTTTTTTTTTTTTTTTTTTTTTTTTTGCACAAATTATATGCAGGAACATGATCACTGGTTTTCCTTCCAACTATTTTAGGCTTTGGGTAGAACCACTAGACTTTTTGCTATCATATTGCTTTTTTGATATAGATTGTTTATGGACCAGTTTGATTAGATTTGACTCCAGGTGGCTCATATCGAATAATGTAATGCTCACGTGTATATACTGTAAAAAAATCAAAATGAAAATGTGTGAATAACACTGTGTGAAATACATCTGGTCTTGTGTTTTTCGTGCAGGAAACCAGCATTTCGTTTTGTTCTCAGTTACGCCTCTTGTTTGCTGTCTGTGGAGCTCAGCTTTGAAACGGTACCCGCTTCAACTCAGTGATCTGAGGAGAATTATTTGAGAACCCTGTATTAGATCATGCAGATTCCAGCTCTGAGCAGCTAAACCATCATCATACTAATGTTTACCGGTGGGTAATTAAGGCTACAGCCTCGCAGCAGTTCCTTTGCCCTGCTGAAACCCCAATGAGTCCCCGAGCATTGGAGAGGGCTGGGAGTGGGGGCTGCTCTTGCCATCGTTGCACCCAGTCTCTTCTGTTACTCCAGGATGTTCTTTCAAAGGGCCACTTTTGGCTTAAGGTGGGAGTGAAGTAGTCTAACTGCAGGGCAGCAGGTGCAATTTTTGGTATGACATTAACCCTCCTAAGTGTCCCATTACAGACACAGAAGCCATAATACCATTACTTCCATTGCTGACTGTGATCCCCTCATGCTCTTTTTCACTGGAGTCCAGGGAACCTTGAAGCTTCTGCAGCCATCATCTCTAGGTGCCTGAGGGTGCTGATGGCGCTGAGACACTGCTGTAGTCACTCCTCGCCTGGGGATCAGGCATTTTTCCTCCTGGCCTGCTGTGCAGCAGCCTGGTGAGTTGGTTGATCTCTCAACCAGTTTCACGCCACGAGAACTGATGTTCAGCATGCCAGTACCTAGGAAAAAGATTAAGGAGTGAGGTGGCCGCTCCCACTGTATGGCATTCAGGGAAGTAATGAGAGAAAAATCACAAAAGAGTTTTAAGATCTTGTGGCTGGTACTGAAAGTCACAGACTACATCTAAGTCATGCAGCTGGGGAGAAAACCCAATGCCAACTCCACAGATAAATAATCTTCCACTTGATGGTTGCAGTTAGGTCACCCCAGAGCCGTAATGCTGCATTTGTATCTGATCTTTGCTGTCTCTGTCCTGGTCTCCAACCTGCAGCTGTCACGTTGTTGACACAAAGGTCCACGTCTTGCAGAGCTCTGATAGTGTTGTGGACAATGCTGATGACAGGACGCGTGTGCTACAGCCACACTATGTCACGCTGCCCAAAGAGTTTCAACTTGGAGTATTCTCCGTGTTTGTAAATAATGTTGAAGCTCTCACAGGCTCCATCCATGCCTGAAAATTGCTCACTCAAGCACCTTTGGGCTTGGGAATGGAGAAGCTTGGTTCTTCTCAGGGACAGCAGATCCCGTCAGGCACGTGCTTGGTTCCTCAAAGTCCAGAACTGGGCTAGAGATTTGGGAAAACTTAGCAAATATCCAGATCCTGCCACCTCAAAAGATGCTCAGAGTGATGCTGCAGAAGGAGCCGGGGGTGTTGCAGCGCTTCCTGCGTGGCAGAGCAGCCCAGGCCTTCCCTGCTCCCTCATCAGAAAGTGGCACCATTGTCACAGAAAGCAGTCATGGTCACCTCCTCCCAGTCATAAAGGACAGAGAGATGGCCAAAGGCTGACAGCACTCCAGCTCCAACATGGTCAGGAGTGTTCCTGGCTGCCCATGCAGTGCCTGTGCTAGGGACAGGAGGCAGCTGCTTTATCCGGGACTGAACCACAGCCTGGTGTTACACACTGGGTTTTGTAATGCAGAGGCTGTCGGAAAGCCCTGTCAGGAGCCAGGGGAGCAGCACTCGGTGTGACCGCCCTGCTGGTGCTCCTCAGCAGCGTGGTGCAGGAGCATTTCCTCCATCAGCCCCATGGACAGAGCTTAGCTTCCTTGGAATTAGTTTCCTTTATCAGCCTCGTGGGTTCGAACCCGCTTCTCTCGCTCCACAGGAGCGTGGCCTAACCACGGGGAGCTGGGTGGGTTCACGTCGCTGGATTTGGGCTGGGCTTGGAGCAAGGCTGGAACCACGGGTTGCATCACAGCAGCACAAGATGGAGCATGACTGAAGCGCGCAGGTGGGAGTGGGGAGGCCCTGCCCCGGAGATCCTTGTCTCCACCTTGCTTCTCCCAGGCTCACTTAATGTAAAACACATCTTGGGAGCAGCACGGCCCCGTCCTTAAACTGGAAATGCTCTGTGAGGCTTTTTTATGTAGCAGCTGCAGAGGAAGGAGTCTTATCCCTGAAGTCCCTCTTCATTGTGTGAGGAAGAATCACGTTTCTTCCCTGCCAAGCCTGGCAGGCAGGGGGGAGACAAACCTTCCCCTTCCCACAGGGCACGGGTGCCGGAGGCTGCTTGGGGCTGGCTCGCTGTGCTGCTGATCACAAGGCAGGCTCACACGCCACTGGATAACCCTTATCACTTTTCCTCTTCAGCACCGGGAACTCTTCTCACCGCTCCCCACGCAGGCACAGTCCTGGGAGGAGGGAGTCAGGCACCCACGAGTTCCCACAAGCGAGGTCCTGGGAAGGTTTCCTCGCCCCGGTGGGTCGGCCTCAGCCCTGTTCCCTGTTCCTTGGTGTAGCCGCTGCCGTCCAGAGGCTGGTGGAACAATGAGAGCAATTGGCTCATTAAGCAAGGGTTACGGAGAGCTGAAGAGCCGAGGGTGGACAACCTCAGCACAAGCCACAGAACCAATTCCTCCCCCCACACGGAGGGATGGGATGAATGGAGCGGAGTTCACCCATCAGCTCCAGGCTATATGCTGGTCTCATTCAAATGGGCCACGTGCCTCTTAAAAAAAAAAGGCTTTTTGTTCAAAAAGTGACCCTCCTAAGTACTCTGAGACTCACATGATACCTCCGACTTCCTTGCAATGTCATGTGTCTCAGAACCCGGGGCTTGGTGTTCACCCCACTTCGGGAGCACTACGCACTTGGGTCCTGCTGGGAAAAGGGCAGCCCTACCCTCCCTGGGACACACAGGGAACCAAAAGCCTGGAGATCTGATAGGGGCATTGAAGATCACCCACTCCGTGTGTCTGTGGGCGCTGTGCAGCTCCCGCTGTCCTCTCAGAGAGGGGATGCTCCTGGGATCCCAGCTCACAGCCTCTTCTGTTTAGGTGTGGGCACTTCCATGCGGACACATACCCCAGGAGACGATCCTGTTGCCTACTGCGGTGCCTGGTGCCATTCGAGGCACCCTGGGGCACCCAAAACATCCAGATGGGGCAAGGAAACATCCCCAAGGGATTGCCTCAGCCTAGCCTCTAGCTTCTGCTCCAGAAGGGCATCGATGATGGCACCAGGCACCTGCATACAGGCAATGGGTCTCTTCACCCAGAAGGCACTAGAAATAGATTAGCAATTTCTAATAAATCTGTAAAATAAAATAAATCGGGTTAAAAGAGGGTAGAAGGTAGGGATAGGTCCAAAAGGTTTGCTAGGGGTGGGAGTGGGAGCAGCTTTATGTTGTGGAATAGGATGGGACAATAATAATAAAAAGGCACCTTTATGCACAGCAAAACTTTCACGCCAAGCCTCCCTGTGATGTACAGTTAACATCACGATCAACTAAAAGATATCAGATTTTTTTTTAAAAGGGAGAAAAAAAAAAAATACCTGTGTATTTTACACCTAAAATACCTAAACAATTTAAGAAAAACTAATACCTAATTAAAATTTGCCACATCAGCCAGTGCTGCTCGTACCGCCTGGAGGGGTACGGTGGTGGAGCCTCCGAGACAGCCGGTATCTGCGGAAATCTGTGAGTGGCCTCGAAATGCTAAATGAAGGATGATAATTACAGCAGGATGTGTCCTTTTGGTTAATCGGGAGGAAAGCCTGTGTGTTACATCACACAGAACTGATGGCGTAGCCACAGCTGATGGCTGGAGTTATAGGAGCTGAAGTTAGCCCAGGTGCAGGATTCCTCAGAGGTCCTCAGCTAGTCTGGGGTCCAAATCACACCAGCTTACTGAAAAAAAACATTTTTTTTCACAATGCTACAAATGTCCAGCAGGCAGTTACAGAAATTGAGCTAAAGCCTCTGATGCAGCCTAACCCTGCCCTCAACGGCTGCTCTGCTGCAGCATCTGCTTCTTCCCAGACCACAGCCCTTTTGCATACGTGGGAGTATTAAACCTGCTTTGGCAGAATTCCTGGAGCTATACGTGCTCATTCAGATGTAGCAGAAACACCTAGCCCAAGTCACTTGGCTGCTTGCAAGTGGCAGTGTGAGAGCGCGTGGTGAACGTTTTTCTATGGCTATGGACTGAATGAATGCTTCTACATTTTGGTTACAAGTCCTTAACTTTCATCCAGGACTTCTTAATCAGCAGCACAGCACCAGCTTATGCAAATGCTGCTTGCTGACCTCAAGGGTATGTTGTGCATTTGGTATGGTCAGAGGGAAACGGGCACGGCATCCCCCAGGGAGAACTTTTACAGCTTTCTGCAAGTTACTCGAGCATCCAGGAGGCTCTCGCACAACCCAGGACAGTGAAGGAGCACACAGAGGAAATACAGGAGGCCTTTGATAAGAGATTAAGTACTTCATTCCTCTGAAATCCCTACCTCTCCCAGGCAAATAATGGGTCTCTGTGGCACTGCCAGTAGAGGCCGTAGAACCAAAGCTATGTGTATTTTTTATCTTCGCAGCAGTCGTCAGGGCACTAAAAAGGCACTAAAAAGGTATGAAATATCACAGCACCTCTCCTACAGGACTGCAGGCAGCTGTGAAGTGTCCAGCTCCTGTCTGCTGAGCTGGAGGCACTGCAGCTCGGGCATCCAGCCCATTCCTCCGGGTCTCAGCATCGGTGTGTATTGGTGAGCACGCAGAGGAAAGCCCCTGACAGCTGCACCAACAGAAACACCCGCTGCAAGAGACAGCAGGTACCCAGCAGTGGGTGCAGTGGAAATAATGCAGCTCTGGCATCCCCATGCCACTTCCCTCTTCATTGAAGCTCCCAGCAGCAGCAGCCTCTGGTCCGAGTGCTCCTGGGAAACGTGATAGCTTTTTCTCTGCGCTCATTTTCGTGCCAGGGCAAACCCCGTTCTGTGCTCAAATTATTTGGGGTCACGGAGGTTGAGGGATCACACACTGCAAGCCAGTGTGAGTCACTGCCAGTGAGCTGTCCTGAGCTAACCACACAGGTAAATGAATCACAGAGGTGCAGAACAGACTGAAGAAGCTTGGCCAAGAGAAAAAAAAAAAAAAAGTGGTTATTCAGGTGAGTGCTTTGAGAAATACCTGCCTAGTCCACGAGCCCTGGGCCTGGTAGACCAAAACAGTTGAACAGTGAAAGCACCTGGCCAGAATTACAGCAAAAGGCCTCATTAAGAGAGAGCGAGTCAGCCTTTTTTGTGGGCAACATCCACGTAACTTCAGCCAAACCCCACACAGGCTAATGGGAAACCCTCCGCAGGCTCTGATGCGCCAGCCCCCAAATCCAGCTCTGAGCGTGGAGGATCCAACCAGGCCCTCACGTGCAGCATCAAAGCAATGCAGGGGTTTTTATCACAGCTGCTTACGAAAACTACCACAGAGGTGGCACGCAGCTGCCAGCTGGGCTTTTGCCAAGCGAAGCTCTGCTAAATTCAGTTGGGAAGTATTTGGCTAAGGGCACAGACGCAGTAATATACAGTTTTTGGTGTCCACCCAGGAGCAGGACCCAGGGAAAGGGGATGGAGAAGACAAAAAAGCCACCAAAATTCATGGGAGAGGCAGCCAAGTTGATTCAGCTGATATCTATAAAGCCAGCGCTGCAGCCACAATGACACTTGGACCACTAGGCACTGCATTGTTTAAACTGAAAAAAAAAAAAAAAAGTTTTTGCAAGAAGGCTGATTCTTGTCCAAATAAGCCAGGACATCCCTTCCATCAGAGCGTTACATGGAGCAGAAAGGAGCCCAGAGCAGACATCCATCCCCTCAGGGCAGCTCCATGCTCCCCGCCTTGGGGTGAGCTGTGGGGAGCCTGCTCTGGGCTCTCACTTCCTGGGAGGGAAAACCAAACAGAGTTGCTCAGAGATTTCTGACTCACTGCAAAGAAGGCTGGACAGAACAAGCAAAATCAGATATCACCGTGCAAGCGCACTGGGTGGGTTCAGGTGATCCTGCTGTAACTCACCATCGGCATTCGGAAGGGTCGGAATCAGTTATTTCTGCGTCAGTGCACAGGGACAGCCAAAGCAAACTGTGCAACAGTCGCCCAGGCATGGGAGGAGGCAGGAAGAGAGTTAAGTGCAGCCGGTACTGCGACCCCGAACAGAGAGCGACAGTCTGGGGAACTGGGGACCGCAGTGCCTGTGCCCCCAGAAGACGAGCTGGATGCCAAACGTTGCACACCAGTGGACAGATTGTGGAAACGCAAGGTTGAAGGCCCAAGCTGCATCCTCCACAGGCTTGCTCTTACACTCGGTATTGATTTAAGGCATGGGCGGATTGCTCTTTTGTTGCTGCAGGGAGCTAGCAAGAGCAGGATGTGAGCCATTGGTAACAGAAGCTTAAAGGGAACTTAAAGGGGAAGGAGTAGAGAAAGAACAAGTTGGCAGGGAATAAAACTTTGCAAATCCTCCTGGTCTCTGCAGTCTCCAAACAGACCACCAGCCACATTGCCCTAATCTCCTCCTGGCCCTTTCAGGATAAAAACTTCCTCTTCCACCCCCGGGTTTTAGGTCACCAGCCACACGTCTCATGCCAGCTCACCGTTCTGAGGCACCGTCCATGGGAAAAACCCAGACACAGAAGGGAATTTCACTGACAGTGCTTCAAGCCCTCATCAAATACTTGTTTCAGATGCATTTCCCTCTTCACTCCAACCAGTTCCTGGGGCAGACTTTATCTGAATGCATTTAACATCCCATAAGTGTACCTCTTACCTCTCTGTCCAGCCCAGTGATCAATAGATTCGAGGCTTTCAATCAAGGTCTTGTCTACACCTTATAGCTGAAACAAGTGGCACATACAAGGTGCTGTTGGTTTCCCATTCTTATAAACCCCCTTTAATTAACTGAGGTACCCAAAAGGGAAAGGTCTTCTCTCTGCCACAAAAGCAGCAACTGAGAAACAGGCAATCAGCAGCAGGGAAGCCAATTATCTGAAGCCAACCAGAGATGGCACCTGTTGGTGCTGAGCTGTCAAGTCCACAACAACCCCAGTAGGCAGGCAAAACTGCCTGTACACTGAAGGCAACTCTTCACATATACTCTAGCCTCCCGCCATGTATTAGGGAATATACTCCCCTTCTTCATCCCGAGGTGTCAGGCTGTAATATCCTAGACAAGTTTGCAGGTGAAGTCACTGAGATGTGATGTGTGACCACAAGGTCCTCCAGACCTTGTTGAGGAACTCAGCTTTTTCTAACCCAAGTCCATCTGGTCACACTCCGTTAATGCACCGTCTATGGATAACATGGCATCAGACTTTAGCAGCAATCTGCCCTGCAGGCTCCACTGCTCCTGGTGGGCACAGGCGAGGAGAAGACACACGGTGAAAGCGGCCACCACCTCATGCTGCTGTAGATAGGTCCAGCGCCTGGAAAGCCAGGCAGGCAGCTCCCACTGCTGCATGATGCTCACATTCACAGGGCATAAGAGATGATGGCCTCTGCTGCAGAACACTGTGAAGAATGATGGTGGTTGCCCAACAGCAAGTCGCCATCCCAGCTCCCCCCCTTGCCTCCGGTGGTGGAGGAAGCAGCAGGCTGGGTTCGTCCCCCGGCTGTGCTTCCCCTCTTCCCATGGCAGGACACAGTTCAAACCAGCCCCTTGTCCCCAGGGAGGCCGAGTTCAATTGGGCTACGCTGCTGGAAGCCCTTGATCCACTTCTGGGAAATCCCCACAGCTCCACTGTACTGGGCAGAGACAACCAACTCGTATCATCCCCTGAGCGCGGGGCTGCCAAGAAACTCCTTTCCATACAAGTCTCATCTGGCTTTTCAGCATGGAGCTCTTTTGACTGAAACCACAATACTTAGCATGCTTCAATGATCAAGCAGAGGGCACGGGAATGTCACTGAAAACACTTGGCTCCCAAACACAGCATTGTTCTTCCCCTTACCCCATTCACAGATCCTGACCAGAACATCCCAATCAAGCTTTAAATGTTTTCTAGCAAATCCAGCAAGTAGTACCACAGTGCTATTTGATCTCCCATCTCCCCGAACACACACGCGCACACACTCGCATGAAATCCATATGTCGCGAGGCCCTGCCAGCGCCTCCGCGCAGCTCACGGAGGCAGCCCTCATGGCAGCATTTCCTCCATGTCCGCAAGCTTCCAGCACTGGATACAGCCCGGACAAAGTGGCCTCTGCCACACCAAAATAGCCGAGAAGGGTGATGAGGAGCTGCATGCTAATTGCCAGTCACACCATCGCAGCTGGGATGTCCCCTTGCTTGGACTTCACCACCTGCACATGGAGCCCACCTCACCAGCGCTGCACTTCTGGGTGCCACCAGCTCCAGACATCTGTCAGCCTCCATCACCCCTCTGCCCTGTCGGGCACCCACATGCCCCCATAGTTTTTATTTTGCCTCCTCTCCTCACCCCACCTTGCCTTTCTGCCCCACCGCCTCATGCCCTGTGGCCATGTTGGCCACAATGCCTACAGCGGCGCCATCTTCTCCCCCGCAGCCCCAGCATGGGGGAGCGGAACATGGCGGCCGCGGCCCCGCTGAGGGAAAGGCGGCATGGCAGGGGTTGTTCCGAGGAACGCTGCATGAGCAATATAAGAGAGAGGGAAAGAAAGCGAGCTAATTAAAGACACGTGATAAAATCATGAGAGTTTTAGCCACATTGAATATCCAATTAGGTCTATTAGCCTTTGGGCCACAGCTGCGGAAAGGGATCCTCAGTCTGGCAGAGGTTGGCGGTCCCCTTCCAACACCCGCCTGAGGGCCCTGAGAGACACCAGAAGCGCTGATTGCAGCTCTTTTTTGTGTGCCCACCCCCCATTCGTCCTAGGACAGCACAGCCCCATGGCCGCTAGCTTGGCCGCGTCCCTCCTCCATCCCGGCCACCCCACAGGCACGCGGTGCCCATTGACAGTGCCACCAGTGTGCACTCCCAGCAGCACTATTAGCTCTTAAAAAGTGTTTTTAATTCATTCCTTTTTTTTTTTTTTTTTTAAAGTCTGTGCAGACATTTGCTTGCATTGTTTATAGCCAACACTCCAGCGTGTGCTGGCACACACACACAAAGGCAAAAAGAAAAACAACCCGACAACTGAATGGACTGGGAGCAAACAGGAACTGCAGCCCCGGCCGTGCGAGCCGGGGTAATAAAACTCGGCCCGTGCTGTATTTTGTGCAGGGTTATTGCCTGCTCTGCTTGCACGATCAACAGCGAGACGTGCAAAGAGCGCAGGAGAGCGCGCAACTTGCTTGTAACTCTGCACGGCCAGGCAGGAAGGGGCTTCTTTGAAAGCAGCCCTTCATGCCGCAGACCCAAAGCAGCATTTTTTTAACCCCATTTTACCCCTTTGGAAACCCTGTCCCAACAGCAGCAGCAGCACGACCCAATCCCCACTTCTTTTTTCAGGGGAAAAAAAAACAAAACACAGAAAAACAGAAAGGGGGGTGAAGGGGCACAATAGCATCGTTCCCACCGCGGGAAGGGAAGGGAGGGCTTTCAAACTTCTCCTTATTTTTAGCCAGGAGGAAGGAAGCACGGCGGCGGCGGAGGAAATCGGGGAAGGGCGATCCGAGGGGAGCGGAGGCTCCGGGATGGGGGGTGACCGGCGGAGGGCGGCCGGGGGCTGGCGGCGCAGGTAGCGCGGGGGCGGGCAGCGCCGGGCCGGGCCGGGCCGAGCCGGGCCGGGGCAGGGCTGGGCTGGGCTGGGCTGGGGCCGGCGCGGGGAGCCGAGGGGAGGGGAGCCGAGGGGAGGCGGAGCCGGCCGGGGGGTGGCCGTAAGGTGAAGGTTGTTGCAGTGGGTTCATTAAAAGACAGAGTTCAACTCCTCGCCGCCGCAGAGAGAGCACGAGAGCGGCTGGGGAAGGGAGGGTGAGAGGAGAAAAAGAAGGAAAAAAAAAAAAAAAAGAAAAAAAGAAAAATATTGAAGAGTGAAAACCGGCAGGTCTTTCTTCGAGCTGTACTCCGAGAGGAAAGGGCAGTGCCGAGCCCGAGGAGGAAGGATGATCGGCGCGGCGGCCGTGTGGCTGCTGGCGCTCTGCCTGCACGCTGCTGCCCTCCCGGTGAGCCCGGCGGCGGGGGGCTGCGGGGCTGGGGGGCGCTGCCTCGGCCGGGCCGGGCCGGGCTGCTGCTTTGGGAGGGGATTCAATGGCCTTTTGTGCTGGCGGGAGCCTTAATTCAAAGCAGCCCCGCTGCTGCTGCTGCTGCTGCTGCTCCCGACCTGCCGGCGGCTCCGCCCCGCTGCGAGGCTCTGAGCACGCCGCGGCCACCCGCTGGCTCCCCCCTTGGGCTCTCGGGGCTGGGGGTGAGCCTCGCATCGGGCTCTTTGTGGTTTGGGAGGTCCCTTTGTGGACCTCTTTCTGGCCCGGGCAGCGGGTGGCGGTGTCCTGCTGGGGATCCGGAGCCTCCTGGGGCCGTCCCCGGCTCGCTGTGCTCTTCCTCCCAACTCCGGAGCTCCAGGAGGGGCTCCGTGCCCCGGGCAGCTCGGGGGGGAGGAGGCCCGGTGGGGCTGCAGCCTCGGAAAGCCCCGGCTCCCTGCCGCAGCAGCAGCCGCCAGATGTCATCCGCGACTAGAGGAGAGGACGGCTGGCCCGGCGCTGCCCGGCGGGGCTCTGGCCGCAGCAGCCTCAGCTCCTCGTGTGGGAGCTCTCCGGGTGGTTTGTGAGGGGTGGGAGCCCTGCTTGGCACCCCCCGAGGGGCACACAGCCACCCTTTCCTCGCACCGTGAAGGGTGCTCGCTTCCCAGGTGCTCGCATGCATCGTTTGGGAGCCCTCAGCTCCGCCGAGCAGCGGGGAGCAAGCAGAACCTGAGGCTTCGCGTGGGCAGGAGCACGCGAATCAAAGCACGCTTCCCCTTTTTATTTTATTTCGTTCAGAAAAGGTGTAATTGATTTGAAACTGGTCTGGAGACTGATCTGCAGCGGTAGTTGGATAAGGAGTGGCAGAACAAAGTGCACAGCAGGACCGAGGCCGCTCAGAATACCTGCGGTTTTGCTGTGCTGTCCTGCCTGTGAGCTCTGCCCGTAGATGTGGCCATCCAGCCGGCTAGCACACATGGTCCTGAGTAGTTAGTCCGTGAGGTGGCCAAAAATGACAAGCACGTGAGCGTAATCAGCCCTGCCTCGTGGGGAGAGGGCTCTGCTCGTCACTGCTGAACGAGCTTGCTAATGAATAACGTGGAAAAACTGCAGTTTACTTGCAGCCTCTGCAGCGCGTTTGGATAAAATTACCCAGTGATAAATGTTTCTTATTAGAAATGGTAAAGGCATGCAGTGAACGCTCGTCTGGAGTTTTCCTGTGCGTGGGGAGACGGCCTGGCTGATGCTTCAGGTTGAGGGAGGTCCTGGTGAGCAAGAGGAGTCCTCGGGGCTCTCTCGGTGGTGACTCAGCGCTGAGGCTGGTTCCCTCCTGGGCATCACGTGGCCGCCTTCCCATGTCGAAATGTCAGTGACACAGATGAGGCTGCCTTTCCCACCCAGCTGGAGCAATTAGGCTTTAGCATCAAGTGGCTGTGCTGGGTGTTGAGTGGAGAAAGCAGAGTGACCTTACGCAGCCCTTTGCATGTGGCAGGTCACGGCATTAAGGGTGCTGGTGTGGGTGTGCTGGGCTCTTGGTGGTTGGTTATAGGAGGGTGTCCCACTGCCTCTGGCACATGGCTTGACCCTTGGCTATTACTGCAGGACTTAACTAAGCAGCAGGAACAAGAATGTGGCCAAATTATAGCTGTTTTCTTTCAGAGCATTCTTAAGAGAATGAATAGTTGTGGGTTCCTTTCCTTCCTCAAGATAACACTTTGCTACTCAAACATCCCATATGAGATTAAAATTCCTCTTTGAAACGATGGGGGCATTGAATTTCTTGAAATAAGAAGGCTGATGCATTTTAATGGATTAGCTTGGTTGTTGTCCCAAAGGGATGTTTCTGTGGGATATAGCCCTGCCGCAAAGCCAGCTGAGCGTGGAGGAGGACAGTGGACAATCCAGCCTGCACCTTGAGGAGAAGGGGGTTTCGGTTGTTTCACCTGGTGTGGGTGCGTGCTGGCGGTTAACGCAAGCTTAGCAGGGCAGGCAGAACCCTTTTTCCAAGGGTGATGTCATTGCTATCTGAATGCAAGCTAATTAGAAGAAATTAGGTAGCCTGGCTTGCTTATTAAACATGTAGGCAGTGGATAAGAAGGAAACACTTTCTTCTGTAGAAGCACCTACAGAACGGCGTCACATTATTTATCAAGTACTGCAAACAGCACTTCTCCTTCTGAGCCTCGCTTGCTGGTGGCTCCCTCCCTGAAAAGAGTGAGTCAGCTCCGATGAGAGCAGAGAGCGGTAAGCTACGGTTTGTGCTGGGGAAGGGGGCTCCGCTGCGAGTTTCTAGCCTTTTGTTCCAGGTTTCTGGCAGTTTTAAGTGGCTAGAAGAGCTAACACTTCTAATGGCAGCACTCTGAAACTTCTGGAAACCAAACAATCCTCTCTAACAACCCAAGACAAGTTGCAGCAAGTGCGAGAAACCTGTAAGCCTTCTAAAATTAAGCGAGTGCACTAACCTGAAATGTAGGCTGCTGTTTTAGCAGCAAAATTGGTCCATTTTAAGTATGTGTTTTGCATTGCTAGTGGGTAGATGTCTCCAGGTGGCCTGTGTGGTAGCGCCTTGTCCTAACCTTGTTTGATGTGGCTTTTGTGTCTGAGGACCATAGTAATGCCTCTGAGAGGGACACTGCACCAATGTGCGTGTCACCTGGCACCTAGGGAGCTGGGGTTTTAGTGGGGCCGGCTATAGGAGTAGATAGAGGAGGGAGTTTTTTGGGAGAGAGAAGACATAACCTCTTTCCTCATCTCTGGAAGTGTTCAAGGCCAGGTTGGATGAGGCCCTGGGCAACCTGGTCTAGTGGGTGGTGTCCCTGCCCGTGGCAGGGGTTGGAACTGGATGGTCTTTGGGGTCCCTTCCAACCCAAGCCATCCCATGGTTCCTTCCTGAAGGGGTGATGTCAGTGATGAAACTACTGAAGCAATACAGTTTTATCTTAGATCTCCTCGTTATTAACACAGAGCTCTTAGTACAGAACTTAAGGGCAGTAAGACCCTGATCGCTTGCTGAAATGTAGGATACTTCAAGTGGCACATGGCCCTCGGGACAATGTTCAGCTGATGTTAAGACTACCTCAGCGTAGGTGTCTACGTGTGCGCTAGGTGCCCAAGCTCTTATTGTAGTCACAACAATGTAATCAGTCAGCCAAAGAGAGTGGTTATCTGACCAGCTCCTGCATGTCTGCTCCGAGGTGAATGGCTTTGTCTGGGCTCAGCTGATGGGATCTCATCCTGACCGTAAGGGGAGCACAGACACCTTCATGTTAGTTCCTTAATCTGGGAGCGATGTACCTGAAAGCGCTGCTCCTATTTGTGAAACTTCCCTGTTAACCCAATCCATAAACAAATGGTCTAGGCTGCCGCTGTTCCTGTGCCAAGAGAGCTAGCAAAGCAGTGGGAAACATCAGCTTTCAGCTAGAACAACAGCTCTCTCCTGTTCTGGTGCAACAGGATCAGTGCCTCTGAACAATAGCCCAGCCTGGCTCTGCTGGAGTAGAGCTGGCTTCTGTGTCAGTGCTCTGACGTGGAAATGGGAGCAGAAACGTACATACACGCATCTTTTTAGAGGGAGAAGGAACCGTGAGCTTTTTTGGGGGGATTAGAGCATTTTAGTATCCTAAGATGCTGTTTATTGGTGGATTAGAAGTGAGGCACCTTTGTTACTCCCTGGGCTTTGATACAGGCGGTGAATTTGCAAAGAGGAAGCTGTTCTGACCAGCGGTACGAGGAGCTCTGGTATTTCTTACGGGTTCATTTATCCTCTGAGCTGAGGAGACACTCTAAAGGCCAGGATCACATGCTGTCTCCTTTGGAGCTTGGTGCTGAGCATCAGTTTTCTTATCAGGTCCCAAAGTTATGAGCTGAGTAGCATGCCCCGTTTGAACCACTGCTCTGCTAGGCTCTTGGCGTACCGCAGAAATGAGCTTTATCTGGCCTGGCTAGAAACCTGGGGTAGCGCACTTTCAGCTGTGGAGGTGCTAGTGGAGAAGTTCCTGCACTGTGAAGCCTCACCTCAAGGTGAGATAACATTCGGACCTCCTACAAGCAGCCCTTGTGGAGCAACATCTGCTAATGTGGTGGTTTCCCAACCTCGCAGTTTCTCAAGCAGCGCTTGGCTGCAGTTGACGTTCTAGGTCTTGTGGAACCGGCACGGGTCCAGCAGAATCTGTTAGCTTGGGCTCCTTGCCACGCCGGGCTGTAATGTTTGCATTGCACCGCTGAGACCAGTCTCACCTGTGAGGCCTGCTGAGCTGGATGGGAACCAGTGTGCTAGTGGCGCTTGGATGGGGCTGGTGATGGAGCTTCCTGTTGAGTCACTGCAGCTCCAACTGAGTCACGGAGATGGTGCAAGTCATGGCGTTCCTGCGAGGTTTCGAGTTGGAAACTCTTGGGTTTTGATCAGTTGAAGCTCTCTTGCTGCTTCATGTGCACATCATACTGCCCTGCTCCCTGGCAGAGCTCTCTCTTCTCCACAGCCCTTACTTTTGTAATATTATTTGTTTTAATGTCCATTCATTTTGTTTCCTAGCGTTCAGGGTCCTTCTGATACCTGAAAGCTCTTCAGGATTGCTGTTGCAGAGTAACTCCTGACTAAATCGAAGGCAGTGATGTAAGATGGGGATGTGCCTGCCAAAAATACTCGGGGTATCTTGTCCCTTCATGGTAGCTCCTGCCATCTCCACCCCGTAACTTTACAGCACCTCCTGAGCAGGTAATGGCGGTGCCTTGTGTGCTGTGGAAGCACAGGCTGGAAGTCCTGGTGCTGGGCTGTAGGCAGTCCTTGGGGTGCCCTGTGTCTGTCACCCGTGTGTGCACAGCCTTAGCTCCAGAGGGGGTTGCTATTTTGTCTGCCCTTGCCACACAATGAGGAGCTCGTTGCCTCTTAATTGGAGGGAAACCTGAACTCTGTTCCCGTTGTAAGGAGGGAGCGACAAATGCTTTCTGGGCAGAGCTTGACTGCCCCGTGCTGAACACAGGAAAAC